TATCGAACGGTTCAATATCGATATGAGTATCGTTGCACCCCTAATTATTGGGGGGTCATAACCCCCCTAACTCTCCTGAAAATTACACCCCTGGTTTAAGAAAGCATCCTGTCTTTTGTTCTCTCTTTGTGCTGCTGCTCACAGCAGACCTACACAGATAAACGGCTTATTCCCACGAGGCAATCTGCTTTGTATTTGTATTTATACTTGTACAGTATACATACAGTGAAAAAGGCCAACCCCCATTATTCCCGGCTGTCGAAGGCGAGCACACTGTCCCATCTGTCCAGTATCATCTCCGCAGGTGCCGCCAAGCCTGGAGGGCCACCCGGACCGCCCTCCTATGCACGAAGGAACACAATAAGCGTGACGCAGACCAGCACCAGATTACTCCGACCCACATCCGAGAGAACCCGGAACATCATCGAAACAACTGCAGACCTCACCTGGCTCAGGTCAGAGGTCATGATTCAACAATAAAAGAACAAAAAGAAGAACACAAAAACTCATCTCACATATGACAAAAACCATCTGGGCGATCTCCAAAACTTTTTTTTAAACATTCTGTGGACCAACGAGACAAAAGCTGAACTTTGTGGAAGGTTTGAGTCCCGCTACATCTGGCATCAAACATTTCCTAACAAGAACATCACAGCAACAGTCGAACACGGTGGTGGTCGTGTGATGGTTTGGGGCTCCTTTGCTGCTTCAGGACCTGGACCACATGAATTCTGCTCTCTAGCAGAAAGTCCTGAAGGAGAATGTCCGACCATCAGTTCATGACATGAAGCTTAAGCGGCCTATTGCAGCAAGTCCGAAATGAAGGTTTTCAAATGGCCGAGTCAAAGTGTGGACTTAAATCAGACTTAGTTGACCTTAAACAGGCGCTCGTGCTGGAAAAGCTTCCAATGTGTCTGAATTAAAACTATTCAATAAAGCAGAGTGGGACAAAGCTCCTCCACAACAGAAAGACTCATCACCAGCACATCACAAGCAGTTGGAGTTTTTGCTGACAAGGCAAAACCATTTATTAAGATTAGGAAGCAACTACTGTTTCACACAGAGCGGGTAGGTTTGGATAGGTTCTTTCCCTTAATAAAAACTGTGTTTACTCTTCTTCTTTTAGCTTAATATAAACATTTATTTGAAGATTCAA